GAGGCCCGTTCAATGCAAGGCAGGCAGATGAGCACCATCGCAGGCAAGCTATTTGCACCTTTTCTTTGCAAAAGGAGACTTCAACCTTTTGTTTGCTTTGACCTGGAGTCCAATTAAAAAGTCAGACCTTACTCTTCCTATCAGCATGATCCAGCCATTCTGCTGGTTTGCTGATAATAGGATACCAGTGTGGTTCCAAGCTATATTTTCTAGTCCATTGTCTCCCTCCTTCAGGAGACATTTTCCTACTCAATGCTTGCATTCCTCTCATCTTCCTGGCCCACTTTTCTTTCTCAACTTGAAGTAATGTTAGGCTATTATTCATCATGCTCCATCTTTGGAGATAGGTTTCTTTCATTGTGGGGGGAGGACTGCAAAGTTTTGGGTGTGCCATTCAACTTCTTTATCAATGACTTGAAGAACACAAAATGTTATTTAACATCTACATGAAGCCGCTGGGAGAGATCATTCGGAGTTTCGGAATGAGATGTTATCTCTACACAGATGATGTCCAAATCTGTCACTCCTTCTCACCTGTCACCAAGGAGGCTGTCCAGACCTTGAACCGGTGGGCTGCTGTGTCGGACTGGATGAGAGCTAACAAATTGAAATTGAATCCAGACAAGACAGAGGTCCTACTGGTCAGTCGTAAGGCCGAACAGGGTATAGGGTTACAACCTGTGCTGGATGGGGTTACACTCCCCCTGAAGACTCAGGTTCGCAGCTTGGGAGTGATCCTGGACTCATCGCTGAGCCTGGAACCCCAGGTCTCAGCGGTGGCCGGGAGAGCTTTTGCACAATTAAAACTTGTGCACCAGTTGCGCCCGTACCTCGGGAAGTCTGATCTGGCCACGGTGGTCCACGCTCTTGTCACATCCCGAATAGACTACTGCAACACGCTCTACGTGGGGTTGCCCTTGAAGACTGTTCGGAAACTTCAACTAGTCCAACGAGCGGCAGCCAGATTGCTCACCGGAGCGTCATACAGGGAGCATACCACCCCCCTGTTATGCCAGCTCCACTGGCTGCCGATTCAGTTCCGAGCACAATTCAAGGTGCTGGTTTTGACCTACAAAACCCTGTACGGTTCCGGTCCAGCGTATCTGTCCGAACGCATCTCCCTCTACGTCCCACCCCGGACGTTGAGATCATCTGGGGGGGCCCTGCTCTCAACCCCACCACTCTCACAAGTGAGGCTGGTGGGGACGAGGAGC